TTTAAATTCATATAGTATAATTCTAGAAACAGATGATTATTTTAAAAGTACAAATGATAATTTACTATGTGAAAAATATATGTATTCTATAGAAATAAATCTTATCTTAAATTAATGTCAATGACTGTGAGTTGTGAATAATTTTCAGAATTTAACAGAAAAATATTTTTCATTGTTATTTTGTAAAGTTTTACTTTTAAAATTAAATATGTTGCGATTTGCAAGCCGAAAATTACGTTCAACTCAAGTGTTTAATAAAACTTTAAAATTGAGTACTAAACAAACAAGAAATTTAAATCTACTTGAATATCAGAGTAAAGAACTTTTAAGAGATTGTGGAGTTTCTGTACAAAATTTTGCTATTGTAGATGATTTAAATAAAGCAAATTCTGCTTTACAAAATTTACGTTAGTATTTTTTTTAATTTTTTGCATTTAATTAATTTATCATTTATTTAACATTAATAAATTATAAGAAATATAAAATTGATTATTTATATGTTTTTTATATGTTTTTTAGTTTAAAGTTTTTAAAATTGTATTATTATTTCATATTGTATAAATGTATATTAATATTGTGAACATTTATTTTGTAAAAATTATTTATACTACTAATACTAATTTTATTTATTTTTATAGATGCAAATGAATATGTCATAAAAGCTCAAGTATTAGCTGGTGGTCGTGGAAAAGGATGGTTTGATAATGGTTTCAAAGGAGGTGTACATCTTACAAAGGAGTAAATATAGATATTATAATATCTAACATAACAATATGTTATTTATATATATATGTATATGTTTATAATTTTGTATTTTAATGTTAAATATTTTTTTATAGCCGTAAAGCCGTTATAGATGTTGTGAAAAATATGTTGGGTCATCGTCTTTTTACAAAACAGACTTCAGAAGATGGTATATTAGTACAAAAGATTATGATAGCAGAGTCTGTAAATATTGCACGTGAAACATATATTTGTATTCTTATGGATAGACAACATAATGGTCCTGTATTAATAGCTTCACCAGCAGGTGGTATGGATATTGAAACAGTTGCTAAAAAAAATCCAGAATTAATAAAAACAATACCTCTTGATATATATTATGGAATTGACGATGAAATCGCTAAAGATGTTAGCATATTTCTTGGTTTTATGGATCCAACAGTACAACAGAAGGCAATATATGAATTAAAAAATTTGTGGAAACTATTTGTAGATATTGATGCCTTACAAGTTGAAATTAATCCATTGGTTGAAACTACAGATAACCAAGTTATAGCAGTAGATGCAAAAATATCATTTGATGATAATGCTCAATTTAGACAACAAGATTTATTTGCTTTAGAGGATAATGATACAAAAGATCCTAGAGAAGCAGATGCATTGCGGTTCGATTTGAATTATATTGGTATGAATGGCAATATAGGATGTTTAGGTATGCTTATATATATATTTATATATATAATTTATATATATAAAATGTTAATAATACTTATAATAAGAAAGGAATGATAATTTTATATTATTTAATTTATAATCTTTAAAAATTTATATAAATGAATTTATATAATGAACAAAAAATTATTGTTGACTTTATATAACTAATATAGAATTCAAAATTATATTTAGTCAATGGTGCTGGTTTAGCTATGGCTACTATGGATATAATTAAATTGAATGGTGGATCACCAGCAAATTTTTTGGATGTGGGTGGAAGTGTTAAAGAAGATCAAGTTTATCAAGCATTTAGAATTCTTACTGAAGGTATGTACTCTAATAAAAATTGAGATTGTTTTTTCTTAATATATTTATTCTTTATATTATATTTTTGTATAATTCAATATTTTTATTTTAATAAAAATTATTAGAGCAAAGATAAGTTAAAAATATAGAATAAAATTTTTTTATTTTTTAAAAATTTATTAAATTCCGACCGCTAATTTTTTTATTTTTCCTATATTATTATCTATATTGTGACAAAATATTTAAAAAAATTCTGTTTAAATTGATAAAAGTATATAGGTTCATTAATAATACTATTAAATATTATCTCCTTAAATATACATTTTTTTGTATATAAAAATAATTTTGAATATTTTGTTTGATATCTCTAGATCCAAAAGTAAAAGTTATTCTTGTAAATGTATTTGGAGGTATTGTAAATTGTGCTACAATAGCAAAAGGGATTATTGCAGCATCTCATAATTTACAACTCAAAATTCCACTTGTCATTAGACTAGAAGGTAATTATTTTTTTGTTATTTATTTTATAATTTTGTTTTAATAATTATATAGAATATTATTTATTTATTTATTTATTATTTATTTATTTATTTATTTATTATTTATTTATTTATTTTTTGTTATATTTTTTATAGTTTAAAAATTAAATATTATTATTATTATTATTATTATTATTATGTAATTTAATAACAATTCCTTTGTTGTTTTTAAAATAGGTACTAATGTAACAGAAGCAAAGAAACTTCTTGCAGAGAGTAATTTATCAATTATAACAGCTAATGATTTAGATGAAGCTGCAAAAAAAGCAGTTACTTTTGTGAAAACATAAGTTTATCAAGTTTCTTCTGAATTGAGTTTTTTAAGACTGGGAAACTTTGATTTAAAAATATTTATAGATGATATTAAAATATTTCAAAGATTAATTTTTTTTTACTTCGTTTTAATATTGTTTATTTTAGTTTATTATTTATAGATTATTTGTTAATTATCTTTTGGTTGTATCTTTTTTTATATGCTTGCAAAATGATAATCCATATATGAAATTCATTGTATGAATGAATTAATTAAATATTTTGTTAATATTAGTAAACATTATTTTCTCCTTATATTCCAATATATATTATATTCCATTCTTTTACGTTTTCATAAATAAATAGTCTGATATAGATATTATTAATTGTATGCTTTTTTTATATTTTATAAATAAACAAATGGAATATCTTTATATATTATAATTACTTAAGGAATAAAATATGGATAACAGAAATGGAATTAGAAAGAAAAGGGATAATAAGAGAAACAGATAGATTGGTATA